CTGAAGCTTGCCAGTTTGGTTACAGCTTCCTCCTGCTGGAATTGTGATTGGGTGATTGTGACTGTGGTGTAAATGCCTTGTGTGGTCAGTACTATTTAAATTCAGTCCTTTTATCATTTATAAGATGTAAATTAAATGTGTAAAAATTTGAACAAAAACAATGTCTTCAAAATTAGAAAGTAAAGTTTTATGAGAGATTGGTCTAACCACAGGCTTTGAGAGAGGTTTTAAATTTTGGGTTGAACTTTAGGAGATGCAGGGAGGTGCATCTGAACAATCTCAATCCCATTGTGGACAAGATGAAACTTAACAGAAGAAGAAGATTGGAAAGCTCAAAGTGGATTGCAATGGTGGTGCATTTCAGAGATTAATATTCATGGACTGTGTCCTCTTATTCTTGCAGAGTTGTGGGGGCCTGGGAGCTGGTTTGATCCCTAACTCCAGTGGTCAGTGGTTGAGAGGTGGGGTGAACCCTGGACAGGTCACCAGGCCATTCATTACAAGACCAGAGATGAACAAAGTCTACAGAAAAAAAAATCTATATATAAAAAGATAAATCACAAGATTTAGGAACAGGAGCAGTGAAGACACTGGGCTGGTGAGGTGATAATTCGAATTTTCCTACAAGTTCAGATGTTTTAGTGACAGTGGGGAGCTGAATAATGGTTAATAAAGAACAGAGGAGACAGGTGGAAATGGAGAACCATTATCTGTGTAAGGTAGGAGAGGGGCAGATGGTGAGGATTTAAGAGTTTGACTTTGAAAAATGACATATCACACAGAGAAACACTAGTTAGAATTATTAGGTGGTTATGACATCATGGCAACAGCTGCAAATAAGGCTCAAATTACAAGTAGTATAGAACAGAGCACATGAGAACAACTGTTTATCGTTTAAAGCTCAAATAAATTAATATTATTCAGTGATATTGTTAATCTAATATGACCTCTTTTTTTCAGTAATAAGTAATCTAACGTGTTACTATTTCCAATCCAGCAATAAAATTAAAGTTACTTACCCAAGCCACTGTGCATCACTTTTTTTTTGCTATTTTCAACCATATAAGTTCCAAAGGGCACAATGCAACACACTCTCATACACACCAGCTTATATGCCTACATAGTCTACTCTTCTATAAATTACACTAAATAATAAAGACAGGAAAGCAACCTCTGATCCATGGGAGGAGGACGGAGATTCCCAGGCTCAGATGGTTTATCTGAGACATCCTGAGGAGGAAAACGTGAACCAACAAAGTTTGTTTCATTTCTACTCTTTTTGGCAAGTGTGGTGACACTAGATGGGAATTCAGATTTTGTGGAAGTTTAATTTTAGTAAATTGCTCAACAACGCCACCC